TGTGAAATTGCCAGTTAAAATAGCTCAGTGTTGAATAGGAAAAAAAAAAAACCGGACTGGTCATGAAGGGGCTAAAACACTCCGAAGCTCAAGTGGTTAAAATCATTTGAGTTGGCAGCTTGATTTCTGCTGGGAAGGTGACACAGCTAAAGGATTTGTTTTTAATTTAGTGTTTCTCTGAATGTACAGCGTATCCAGGATGTTACACATCTCTAATCTGGGATTCAGAGAAGGAGTAGAAGAGCGGTTGCTACTGACAAGGTAAGAAACACGATCCAATGACAGATGGGACTGTAAGAGGTATCTGCCTAGAGCACACCTGCGGTGACAACCCATCCCATGGGAGAGGGTGTGGTGTGCAGACAGAAGGAGAACGAGAGCTCTGGCACTGCTGAAGAAGAAGGGAATTAAATGATTAAAAAGTAATTAGCCACAGAAAAGATAACGCCTCTGCTGCTACAACAGGGCTTGGAGTTGTGTAGCATCCGGAGGTGCCGTATTTACCCTGATAGAGTAATTTCAGAGATCTCCAGGTATCAGAGACGGGTCCACCAGATCAGGAGAGAGAAGACCATGCAGGTGCCACACTGTACATCTGCCGGAGAGATTGGCACGCAGCGGACAGCTTGCGAGGGAGGGAAGTGGGTGCGTCTGAACGTTGGAGGCACAGTATTCCTCACTACCAAACAGACTCTGTGCCAGGAGCCCAACTCCTTTCTCTGCCGCCTCTGCCAGGAGTCCCAGTTGTTGTCTGAGACGGTGAGACGCACAGCCTGCATCTTTCTATTATCACTTCTGCAATCTGTCCATCCCTGTCTGCTGATAACACTGTTCTGTCTTCTGCTTCTTCCCACATTCATCTTCTTCATTTACAATTCACATTACTTATCCTTCAGTAAATCTCTGGGTCACGTCATCCATTTCTCTCTTTAGGACGAGACGGGAGCCTTTCTTATTGACAGAGACCCCGCTTACTTCGGTGCCATCTTGCGGTATTTGCGCTACGGCAAACTGGTGATAGACAAGAATGTTTGCATTGAAGGTAATTTTTCTATTTCAGTGCATGTGTTTGTTAAGGGGAATATTGCAAAACAAAGTGCCTGTGTGAAAAGGCTCAGATGAAAGCTGACTGCTGGGCTGCTTTAATGTTCTATAATAGTGATGGTGTACCTGCTTGCTTGGCACTAGTATGCAGCCTGGGAGTCAGAGAGTGACAGTTAGGATTCTCAAACAGGTATATTTATTCATCAGAAGTTGAACACCATACATTTTATGTTTTTCATACTTACATTGGCCCAGCATGGCTTGATGTAAGCATCCTTTTCTGGTATCTGGAGGGCCACTGGGGATGCTGTAAATCAGTGGTCTCCTTGGGGCACTATCCTCCCACTGACACCAATAACGGCAATAAATCCTGCACTGACACCAGTGATGGGACACTATTCATCCCACTGACACCAATGATGGGACAATATTCCTCTCACTGACACCAATAATGTGACACTATTCCTCCCACTGACACCAATGCTGGGACACTATTCCTTCCACTGATACCAATAATGGGACACTATTCCTTCCACTGACACCAATGATGGGACAATATTCCTCTCACTGACACCAATAATGTGACACTATTCCTCCCACTGACACCAATGCTGGGACACTATTCCTTCCACTGATACCAATAATGGGACACTATTCCTTCCACTGACACCAATGCTGGAACACTATTCCTCCCACTAATAATGATGGGACACTATTCCTCCCACACTGATACCAATGCTGTAAATCAGTGGTCTCCTTGGGGCACTATTCCTCCCACTGACACCAATAACAGGACAATAAATCCTGCACTGACACCAATGATGGGACACTATTCCTCCCACTGACACCAATAACAGGGAAATAAATCCTGCACTGACACCAATGCTGGCACACTATTTCTCCCACTGACACCAATGCTGGGACACTATTCCTTCCACTGACACCAATGATGGGACACTATTCCTCCCACTGACACCAATGCTGAGACACTATTCCTTTCACTGACACCAATGCTGGGACACTATTCCTCCCACTGACACCAATGATGGGACACTATTCCTCTCACTGATAACAATGATGGGACACTATTCCTCCCACTGATAACAATGATGGGGCACTATTCCTCCCACTAACACCAATGCTGGGGCACTTTCCTTCCACTGACACCAATGATGGGACAATATTCCTCCCACTGACACCAATGCTGGGACACTATTCCTTCCACTGACACCAATGATAGGACAATTTTCCTCCCACTGACACCAATGATGGGACACTATTTTTCCCACTGACACCAATGATGGGACACTATTCCTCTCACTGATACCAATGATGGGACAATTTTCCTCCCACTGATACCAATAATGGGATACTATTCCTCCCACTGACACCAATGATTGGACACTATTTCCCCTACTGACACCAATGATGGGACACTATTCCTTTCACTGACACCAATGCTGGAACACTATTCCTCCACACTGACACCAATGATGGGACACTATTCCTCTCACTGATAACAATGATGGGACACTATTCCTTCCACTGACACCAATAATGTGACACTATTCCTCCCACTGACACCAATGCTGGGATATTATTCCTCCCACTGACACCAATGCTGGCATACTATTCCTTCCACTGACACCAATGCTAGGACACTATTCCTTCCACTAATAACAGTGATGGGACACTATTCCTCCCACTGATACCAATGATGGGACACTATTCCACCCACTGATACCAATGATGGGACACTATTCCTCCCACTGACACCAATGATAGGACACTATTCCACCCACTGACACCAATGATTGGACACTATTTCCCCCACTGATGGGACACTATTCCTCCCACTGACACCAATGCTGGGACACTATTCCTTCCACTGACACCAATGATGGGACACTATTCCTCCCACTAATAACAATGATGGGACACTATTCCTCCCACTGATACCAATGATGGGACATTATTCCTCCCACTGACACCAATGATGGGGCACTATTCCTTCCATGGGGCACTATTCCTCCCCCAATACTAAAGATAGAACACTGTTTACTCCCACCGACTAGATATGTGCAATTCATTTTGTTTTTATTTGTTTTTTGGAAAAAAAAACTTTATTTTCCGAGATTCGGATGTATCTGAATTTCTGAATGAACCTAGAAACAAATGGCAACAAATCCAAATAAACTTATAGCAAAAAAAAAAAATGAATTTGTTATATTTGGATTTTCGAATTCATTTATATCGAATTCATTTTGAATAGCTGGTTGTTATGAAGTGGGCGGCCACCACATCCTTAACAGCCATGACTCATCTGCTGAATGTAAACAAACGTGCTGGCATTAGGAAAAAAAAAACAGCGTGGGGGTCCCCCTAAAATCCATACCAGACCCTTATCCAAGCATGTAGCCCGGCAGGCCAGGAAGGGGGGAGGGGGGTTGAGGGAGAGCCCCCCCCCCCCACTTCTGCCGAACCATACTAGACTACATACCCACATTATGGGGTTGAGGGAACCCCCCAAAACAGCTTGTCCCCATGTTGATGAGGACAAGCGATTGTTCCCCACAATCCTGGGCAGTGGTTGTGGGGGTATTTAACAAGGGGGCCCTGGATCCCGTGCCCCCCCCAATGTGAATGAGTTTCATTCAGAAAAAAATATATCAAAAGTAAAAAAGCACAAGCACAGTTTTTGATAAGTCCTTTATTAAAAAAAAAAAAAAAAAACTAAATGTCTCCCAAAGTAGATCCAACGTTAATCATGATGAACATAGACCCGCAAAACAAAAAGACACTTGATGAATGACAGGTAAACATGGGGGCGGAGTCACTGAATGAATAACAATGAATTTGAATTGGATTCCAAAAGTATCCTTTCAATGCAAATGAATGCCAAAGATATAAAACAAAATGAATTCCAAAAACGGATCTGTAGCAACATAATGAATATGACAAAATGAAATTCTTTAATTAACCAAATTGTCCGCCATGCAAATGTCTACCAATGACAGTCGGACATTTTCTACTATAACTGGCCACTATCTGGCTCCTTTAAAGTCTGAAAGGCAGTATCAGGAAGGAATTGGGGGATCAGGAAGGAACGGGGGATCAGGAAGGAATTTTTTTCCCTGCAGGAGCAAATTGGATTGTTGGGTTCTTTTCTCTGTAGCAAAGGATATAGGATTATAATGGATCTGGGTATAGGATTATACCTTTTTTTTTTCTTCTATGGTTGAAGTGGATGGACTTTTGTCTTTTTTCAGCCAGACTAACTATGTAACAGTACACTGGCCCTTTTGTTTAGAAAGTTTGCAGACCCCTGTTGAAAACCACTGTAGTAGTCTGTGCTACATACAATGAAAGCCGTGATCTTTCGGGTTCTATGCAAGTGGCTTCCCCTCTACACACTGAACACAGGGAGTTTCTCACTGGATACCCCTAACATTTATAGAACACTGTGTACTTTTTTTCAATAAATACAGGGCATTCTCTGATTGGAAGAGGTGAAGAATGGATATCACTGCCCTTCCTCTCCACCTCATCTAGTCAGAAAACACCTTGTATTAATTTAACCGCCTCCCACCCAGTAATATGACGAACGCAAGGCGGTTCTCTCGTTCTAGGAGGACGTCATATGATGTCCTCCCATTCTAACCACGCATGCGGGGCTTCCGGAGCGTGCAGCGCGGCGATTGGCAGTGCTCCACAGAATGAGCCAAAAATATCGGCTCGGTCGTGTGATCAGCTGTGTCCAATCACAGCTGATCACATGTAAACAGGGAAATGCCGGTTATCGGCATTTCTCTGCCCACGAGCTGTCACGCTGACAGCTCGTGAGGAGAGGAGAACCGGTAATTGGCATTTCTCCTAGGGGACATCTACACTGATCATCAGGGCACTGTGTACCCTGATGATCTGTGTAGCCCCAGCAGCCCCACCTGTCAGTGTACATCAGTGCCAGCTCTCAGTGCTCATCCATGCCACCTGCCAGTGTCCGATCAGTGCCACATTTCAGTGCCCATCAGTGCCACATCAATGCTACATATCAGTACCCATCTGAGCTGCCTTTCAGTGCCAGTCAGTGCCGCCTGTCAGTGTGCATCAGTGCCACCTAACAGTGCCAGTCAGTGCCGCCTATCCTTGCCAGTCAGTGCCGCCTATCAGTGCCAGTTAGTGCCGCCTATCAGTGCCACCTATCAGTGCCATATATGAGTGCTGCCTTTCAGTGCCCATCAGTGATACCTGTCAATGCCAATCAGTGCCACCTATCAGTATCCATTAGTGCAGCCTATCAGTGCCCATCAGTGCAGCCTCATTAGCGCACATCAGTGAAGGAGAAAAATCACTTATTTACAAAATTTTATAACAAAAACAAAGAAAAAGCTTTTTTTTTCAAAATTTTCAGTGGTTTTTGGTTTGTTTAAGAAAAATAAAAAACCCAGAGGTGATTAAATACCACCAAAATAAAGCTCTATCTGTCACAAAAAAATGCTAAAAATTTCATATGGGTACAGTGTTGCATGACCGCGCAATTGTCATTCAAAGTGCAACAGCGCTGAAAGATAGAAATTGGCCTGGGTAGGAAGGGGGTATAAGTGCCCTGTAGGCTAGTGGTTAAAAACACTACAAGGCCTTTTATGAATGGTGGAGGTGCCATGTGAGCGATCTCCTGTAGTCAGTGTGCAGAGGGAAAGCTGCTCACATAGACCCTAGAAGATCACAACTATCACTGTATGCAGGTGAGACTACTGAAGTAATTTACAGCACCCCCAGAGTCCCTCCGGATATGAGATATGCATATTTACATCAAGCCAAGCTGGACTAACAGAGGTATTTCATTCTTCATGCACACTGGGGAATTTTTTTTATGTTAAAAAAATGTTCTTAACAAAAAGGTAAAAGATGGTACAGTTGCACAACAGAATGCACAGTAAGGGATACACGTTCTATAATGGAAAAACCCAGTAAACATTTGATAGAACAAAAAACAGACAATGGGCGCAGCCTAGTTCAAGCAAGATTACAATAGAATCACGTACTCCATGCAAGGATGTGGGCGAGTGAAAAAATTCTGTTAGGAGGGACGGGCGAACCGATCACAAACACCCTTGCTCAGTTAAGTCACACAGGTAGTAGGTTTATCAAGCCATCTATCCCAAATTTTGTTATATTTCATGGGGCAGCCACTATGTATATAAATCAATTTCTTATATGGGAGTGTTGAGTTAACTTCTATCAACCATGCCTGAAGGGTAGGAGGTGTCGTCCGCATCCAATGGCACACAACTAATTTCTGAGCACTAAAGAGAATCTCATGTAAAATGGTAACAAGGAACTTGTCCTCAGGCAAGTCAGGGAGAAGGCCAAGCAGACACGATTTGGGATGTAATTGTAGAGGAGAGTCCATGCGATCATGCAAGAACTTGATAATTTGCTCCTAGTACGCCTGAATAACTAGACAAGACCATAATAGATGAAAAAAGGTACCTGTATCCCTTAGGCATCAGGGGACAAGAGGCTCTGCTCTGGGTGAAATCTATTTATATGTTTGGACACAGGCACACTTTTAGATTTTTTCAGGTATATACCAAAACATATTCAAGCTATAGTTATATAATGGATATGGGCTGAAAGTAAACACTCTCGAGGTTAATTTCAGGGTATGTACATCCAAAGTGGAGAAAGGGTTTAGGAATTACATCTCTTAAGAGTAGCCATCCCCCTTTTTTCAAGGGACCAAAAGTAATTGGACAATTGAATCAAAAGCTGTTTCATAGCCAGGTGAGGGATACTCCTTCATTAGTTCTTCACCAATTAAGCAGGTACAAGGTCTGGAGTTGATGCTAAGTGTGGTATTTTCATTTGGAATCTATTGCTGTGAACCTACATCATGCATTCAAAGGAGCTGTCCATGCAAGTGAAACAGGCCATTGGAAGGCTTCAAAAATGAAACAAATCCATCCGAGAGATAGCAGCAACATTACGAGTGGCCAAATCAACAGTTTGGTACATTTTGAGGAAATAAGAATGCACTTGTGAGCTCAGCAACATAAAAAGGCATGGACGTCCATTATTATTATTATTATACAGTATTTATAAAGCGCCAATAGTTCGCTCAGCGCTGTACATTACAGAGGGGGACAGAACATGTGACAGAACAATACCAATACAATGCAAAACATGAGGGGATCGAGGGCCCTGCTCTTTCGAGCTTACAATCTAGGAGGGAGGGGATGGTGGCACAGGAGGAGATAGCTGTGGGGGATGGAGTGGTAGGAAGAGTGGAGGAGGTCGGCAAGTTAGCAGGGGGCGGGGTAGGCTTCCCTGAAGAGATGGGTTTTCAGGGTGCGCCTAAAGGAGAGGAGAGTAGGTGATAATCTGATGGGTTGGGGCAGGGAGTTCCAGAGGATGGGTGACACCCTGGAGAAGTCCTGGAGGCGGGCATGGGAGGAGGAGACCAGGGAACTAGAGAGAAGGAGGTCTTGTGAGGAGCGGAGTGTGCGTGCTGGGCGGTACTTGGATATTAGGTCAGTGATGTAGTTCGGGGCAGTATGGTGGACAGCTTTGTACGTCAGCGTTAGGATTTTGAATTTGATCCGTTGCGCAATCGGAAGCCAGTGGAGGGATTGGCAGAGGGGGGTGGCAGAAACGGAGCGGTTGGAAAGGTGAATGAGTCTGGCAGCCGTATTCAGGATCGACTGAAGCGGGGATAGCCAGCGGCGAGGCAGGCCAGTGAGGAGGGAGTTGCAGTAGTCGAGTCATGATATGATGAGGGAGTGGATGAGCTGTTTAGTGGTTTCTGGAGTTAGGAACGTGCGGATTTTGGCGATGTTGCGGAGGTGGAGTCTGCACGAGTTTGTTAAAGAGTGGACTGGGGGGGCTGGAAGGATAGGTTGGAGTCCAAAATGACACCAAGTACTCTGGCCTGCGGGGCGGGTTTGATGGTGGCGTTGTTGGACATGATGGAGAAGTCAATGGGGGGTGGTGTCCGGGCTGGAGGGAAGACAAGAAACTCGGTTTTGGAGAGGTTCAGTTTAAGGAAGTGGAGCAACATCCAGTCTGATATGTCGCTCAACAGGTGTGTGATTCGGGCGGAGACCGAGGGGGTGAGGTGGGGGGTTGAGAGATAGATTTGTGTGTCGTCGGCATAGAGGTGGTAGTTGTCCATGGAAGACAATAGTGGTGGATGATCGCAGGATCTTCTTTTTGGAAAAGAAAAACCCATTCACTACATCCAGACAAGTGAAGGACACTCTCCAGGAGGTGGGCATATCATTGTCAAAGTCTACAATCAAGAGAAGACTCCATGAGAGCAAATACAGAGGGTTCACCACAAGGTGCAAACCATTCATAAGCCTGAAGAATAGAAAAGCCAGATTAGACTTTGCCAAAAAACATCTAAAAAAGCCAGACCAGTTCTGGAAAAGCATTCTTTGGACAGATGAAACGAACATGAATCTGTACCAGAATGACATGGCATGGACGTCCATGGAAGACAACAGTGGTGGATGATCGCAGGATCCTCTCTAAGGTAAAGAAAAACCCATTCACTTGAAAATTTGTTCCCAGTGCGCCTGAATAACTGAACAGGACCATAATAGATGAAAAAAGGTACCTGTATCCCTTAAGCATCGGGACGCAAGGGGCTCTGCTCTGGGTGAAATCTGGAGACTCTAAGTGGGGTGAGGTAAGCTCGGCGCATTATATAAAACTAGGTAAGTCTATCAGGTAGTCTCAGTGAGACCAGCTTGGTACCTTCCAATAACTTGTCCCATTCCTCTGCTTCTAAAGGCCCAACATCCAACTACACTGGGGCTTTTTTAAATTTTTTTCTCCTAGCAGGAGAAAAGCAGCTTAAAAACACGCCTAAGTCACGTTTATGCAAACACGTTTAGGAGAATCAAGCACTTGGTCATTTTATTTATTTTATTAGCAAGAATATTGATTTATTCTGGCCTTTGAAATAAAAAACGTTGCCTAGCGCATAAGTACGTCAAGGCGTTTTCCTGCCAAAATGCTGAATACGGAAGTGATTTTTTTTTTCTGTCTGGAGGGGCGTTTAGAGGCAGAAAAAAAGCCAAACACCTGTTTTACAGACATTTTGGAGCTCAAGTGTGCATGAGGTCCTAATTTGTAATTCCACTTTAGTTACGAACATGATATAATATATAGAATTGCTAAACAATCTATTTTGTAATTTTAGTGTTACAAATAGCTCTTTAGTGACCCCTAGATCACACCCGTGCTTGTATGCAGGTCGCATTTGCATGGGCACAGCAGCTCATTCATTTGAATTGGCTGCCTTGACTGCACTTCCTGCAAAAAAAAAAGAAAAAATTTTGTAAAACGCGGACGCAGGGAAATCGCATGGTGCTTTTGGCTGCAGGTGGTTGAGGGTGCGGGAACAGCTGCAATTTCTGCACCAGCAACCAGTGATATTTTAAAACTGCCAAATTAATTAAACATGGCTTTCTTGTATGGAGGTGTTCTCTACACTGTTTGGTATATGGAACAGAAACACTTTCCTGATGAGCCAACAGTTTCTTTTATTATAGCGCTGGGACTGATCATGTGACTAGAGCAAAAGATCCCACCACACAGCGCTAAAAAAGCAGGAGGTGAAGGAATCCACATGCGAGCTCCAATACAACTGGTAGTAGGTGGGACTCTGCAATAAAGTTTGCTACAATCTTTCTTGTGCATATAAAAGGCTGGGGAGGATTGTTTGTTTTCCATAGTGAAAGTGGAGTTCTACTTTAACCACTTGCCCTCCAGAGGATTTACCCCCCTTCCTGACCAGGCCATTTTTTGCGTTCCGGGGCTGCGTTACTTTAACTGACAATTGCGCGGTCATGCAATGCTGCACCCAAATTAAATTTACGTCCTTTTTTCCCATGAATAGAGGTTTTTTTTTTTTGGTGGTGGTATTTGATCGCCTGTGCATTTTCTATTTTTTGCACTATAAATAAAAGGACTGATAATTTTGAGAAAAAAACTATATTTTGGACATTTTACTATTAAACATGTTAAGTAAAAAAAATTTAAAAAAATCTAATTCCTCATAAATTTAGGCCAAAATGTATTCTGCTACATGTCTTTGGTAAAAAAAAATCCCAATATATGTAAATTAATTGGTTTGCATGAGAGTTATAGCGTCTACAAATGACGGGATATATACTGGGATTTGTTTTTTTTACTAGTAATGGCGGCGATCAGCAACTTATAGCGGGACTGCGAC